TCTTGATTTTCTAATTCTTCAATAGCTTCTTTAAGTTCACTTTCTTCTATATTTTGTTGTTTCTTTTTATAGCTTGAATGTGATAGAGTTTTCCCTCTTATATTAATTAATTTGCCCAAATTTGGTCTGTAGCTTTCTTAGATAAAGGAGAATACGGGGTGGAAGGGTCAGGATTCATTATAGGAACGAGAACAAATTCTTTAAAATCATTTTTCCCCTGTAGGAATGGCAGGATTCTATCTCAATAAGGTTTGAAGTATGAATGGTTTGACTGAGCCTATAGGGACAAGAGGTTGGCGTGCAGTAGGAAAATAGATATAGTATATTATGTGTTTGAATAATTCTTTTTCCTTTAGTTTTGATAATGTAATTTCAGCCGAGCACAGCCAGGTAAGCGATACAGGCCCTAACGGCCTCTTGATGGGACAGTAAAAGAGTGATTCTCATCTACTACCTACTTAATAGAACCACAGTCAGTGGGGCTAATGAAGCAGGTACGCAAATCATCTGTCGAGGGATTCTGCTACAACAGGACAGTCGGCACTAGTGTGGCTATGAATTCAACCCTTTCCTACTCTTTCCTCCGGACATAGTATGTCTGCCATACGTAACCTAGACAACAAATATCTGTCATACGTAACCTAGACAACAGATGTCTGTCATACGTAACCTAGACAACACATGTCAGTTATACGTAAACTAGGCAACATATATCTGTCATACGTAACCTAGACATCAGATGTCTGTCATACGTAACCTAGACAACAGATATCTGTTATACGTAATCTAGACAACAGATGTCTGTTATACGTAACCTAGGCAACATATATCTGTCATACGTAACCTAGACAACAGATGTCTGTCATACGTAACCTAGACAACAGATGTCTTTCATACATAACCTAGACAACAGATGTCTGTCATACGTAACCTAGACAACAGATATCTGTTATACGTAACCTAGACAACAGATGTCTGTCATACGTAACCTAGACAACAGATGTCTGTCATACGTAACCTAGACAACAGATGTCTGTCATACGTAACCTAGACAACAGATGTCTGTCATACGTAACCTAGACAACAGATACTTTTCATACGTAACCTAGACAACAGATGTCTGTTATACGTAACCTAGACAACAGATGTCTGTCATACGTAACCTAGGCAACAGATATCTGTCATACGTAACCTAGACAACAGATGTCTGTCATACGTAACCTAGACAACAGATGTCTGTCATACCTAGACAACAGATGTCTGTCATACATAACCTAGACAACAGATGTCTGTCATACGTAACCTAGACAACAGATATCTGTTATACGTAACCTAGACAACAGATGTCTGTCATACGTAACCTAGACAACAGATGTCTGTCATACGTAACCTAGACAACAGATGTCTGTTATACGTAACCTAGACAACAGATACTTTTCATAAGTAACCTAGACAACAGATGTCTGTCATACGTAACCTAGACAACAGATATCTGTTATACGTAACCTAGACAACAGATGTCTGTTATACGTAACCTAGACAACATGTCTGTCATACGTAACCTAGACAACAGATGTCTGTCATACGTAACCTAGACAACAGATGTCTGTCATACGTTACCTAGACAACAGATGTCTTTCATACGTAACCTAGACAACAGATGTCTGTCATGCATAACCTAGACAACAGATACCTGTCATACGTAACCTAGACAAGAGATATATGTCATACATAACCGAGATAACAGTAACCTGTCATACATAACCTAGACAACAGATGTCTGTCATACGTAACCTAGACAACAGATATCTGTAATACGTAACCTAGACAACAGATGTCTGTCAGATATACGTAACCTAACCTAGACAACAGATATCTGTTATACGTAACCTAGACAACAGATGTCTGTCATACGTAACCTAGACAACAGATATCTGTCAACAGATACTGTATACCTAGACAACAGATGTCTGTCATACGTAACCTAGACAACATATGTCTGTCATACGTAACCTAGACAACAGATGCCTGTCATACGTAACCTAGACAACAGATGACTGTCATACGTAACCTAGGCAACAGATACCTGTCATACGTAACCTAGACAACAGATGTCTGTCATACGTAACCTAGACAACAGATATCTGTTATACGTAACCTAGACAACAGATGTCTGTCATACGTAACCTAGGCAACAGATATCTGTCATACGTAACCTAGACAACAGATGTCTGTCATACGTAACCTAGACAACAGATGTCTTTCATACATAACCTAGACAACAGATGTCTGTCATACGTAACCTAGACAACAGATATCTGTTATACGTAACCTAGGCAACATATATCTGTCATACGTAACCTAGACAACAGATGTCTGTCATACGTAACCTAGACAACAGATACTTTTCATACGTAACCTAGACAACAGATGTCTGTCATACGTAACCTAGACAACAGATATATGTCTTATGTAACCTAGACAACAGATATATGTCATACGTAACCTAGACAACAGATGTCTGTCATACGTAACCTAGACAACAGATATATGTCTTATGTAACCTAGACAACAGATATATGTCATACGTAACCTAGAAAACAGATATCTGTCATACGTAACCTAGACAACAGATGTCTGTCATACATAACCTAGACAACAGATACCTGTCATACGTAACCTAGACAACAGATACTTTTCATACGTAACCTAGACAACAGATATCTGTTATACGTAACCTAGACAACAGATGTCTGTCATACGTAACCTAGACAACAGATGTCTGTCATACGTTACCTAGGCAACATATGTCTGTCATACGTAACCTAGACAACAGATACTTTTCATACGTAACCTAGACAACACATGTCTGTCATACGTAACCTAGACAACAGATGTTTTTCATACATAACCTAGACAACAGATGTCTGTCATACGTAACCTAGACAACAGATGTCTGTTATACGTAACCTAGACAACAGATGTCTGTTATACGTAACCTAGGCAACAGATATCTGTCATACGTAACCTAGACAACAGATGTCTGTCATACGTAACCTAGACAACAGATGTCTTTCATACATAACCTAGACAACATATGTCTGTCATACGTAACCTAGACAACAGATACTTTTCATAAGTAACCTAGACAACAGATGTCTGCCATACGTAACCTAGACAACAGATATATGTCTTATGTAACCTAGACAACAGATGTCTGTCATACGTAACCTAGACAACAGATACTTTTCATAAGTAACCTAGACAACAGATGTCTGCCATACGTAACCTAGACAACAGATATATGTCTTATGTAACCTAGACAACAGATGTCTGTCATACGTAACCTGGACAACAGATATATGTCATACGTAACCTAGAAAACAGATATCTGTCATACGTAACCTAGACAACAGATACTTTTCATACGTAACCTAGACAACAGATGTCTGCCATACGTAACCTAGACAACAGACATCTGTCATACGTGACCTAGACAAGAGATATATGTCATACGTAACCCAGACAAGAGATATCTGTCATACATAACCTAGACAACAGCTATCTGGCATACGTAACCTAGACAACAGACATCTGTCATACGTAACCTAGACAAGAGATATATGTCATACATAACCTATATAACAGTAACCTGTCATACGTAACCTAGACAACAGATGTCTGTCATACGTTACCTAGGCAACATATGTCTGTCATACGTAACCTAGACAACAGATGTTTTTCATACATAACCTAGACAACAGATGTCTGTCATACGTAACCTATATTACAGTAACCTGTCATACGTAACCTAGACAACAGATGTCTGTCATGCATAACCTAGACAAACAAATATTATCTTCTACAATAGATCTTGAATTTCCCAGGTAAATCGAAAATCATCCGCAGCTATAACACGAAGTATTTGCAACGCGTTTATTTTCTATACGTCAAAAGAAATACAGAACACGAAAATGCAAATATTTTACTTTATTTTGAATGTAATTTAAACTTCCTTTCATTCAAAAATATCACAAATTTCACACATCATCTTCCCTTTTTCTTTCTCTCCATTTCCATCTTTTCTGCATTCATTCTTTTTCTAACATATTCTGTTGTGAAACATATTTTCAGAACAAAAATTCCATGTGAAACATTGTTTATGTTGACTAATAAAAATACACAGTAACAGACAAAGACGTAAAGAAAGGACTCATATTAGAGTCAAAATGACAGCATCTGTATCGTCGTCAGCATGTAATTCTATTCTTGGGTAGATTTAAATTACACGGTTAAGTAGGGTGGGGGGAGGGTTAGGAAATGGCTCTACTTTATCATAAATACACTTGATACATTCCGAAACCAACGTTGGGAACGTTTTTAAAACAAATTAACATTTCAGAAACACAACTATTTACCAAATTTCCTTGGCAGAAGATCAACAAAGGAGTTGTTCATCAACCAGAAGTTTAATGTTAACTAACGTCAGTGTGATTAAAGTTTTATATAACGTGCGTCAATGTAATTACCGTCTTATCTAAAGTGCGTCAGTGTAATTACCGTCTTATATAACGTGCGTCCATGTAATTACCGTCTTATATAACGTACGTCAATGTAATTACCTTCTTATATAACGTACGTCAATGTAATTACAGTCTTACATAACGTACGTCAATGTAATTACCGTCTTATATAACGTTTATCAATGTAATTACCGTCTTATATAACGTACGTCAGTGTAATTACCGTCTTATATAACGTATGTCAGTGTAATTACCGTCTTATATAACGTACGTCATTGTAATTACCGTCTTATATAACGTACGTCAATGTAATTACCGTCTTATATAACGTACGTCAATGTAATTACCGTCCTATATAACGTTTATCAATGTAATTACCGTCTTATATAACGTTTATCAATGTAATTACCGTCTTACGTCAATGTAATTACCGTCCTATATAACGTTTATCAATGTAATTACCGTCTTATATATATAACGTTTATCAATGTAATTACCGTCTTATATAACGTACGTCAGTGTAATTACCGTCCTACATAACGTTTATCAATGTAATTACCGTCTTATATAACGTACGTCAATGTAATTACCGTCCTATATAACGTTTATCAATGTAATTACCGTCTTATATAACGTTTATCAATGTAATTACCGTCTTATATAACGTACGTCAATGTAATTACCGTCCTATATAACGTTTATCAATGTAATTACCGTCTTATATAACGTACGTCAATGTAATTACCGTCCTATATAACGTACGTCAATGTAATTACCGTCCTATATAACGTACGTCAATTTAATTACCGTCCTATATAACGTGCGTCAATGTAATTACCGTCTTATATAACGTGCGTCAATGTAATTACCGTCTTATATAACGTGCGTCAATGTAATTACCGTCCTATATAACGTGCGTCAGTGTAATTACCGTCCTATATAACGTGCGTCAGTGTAATTACCGTCCTATATAACGTGCGTCAATGTAATTACCGTCTTATATAACGTACGTCAATGTAATTACCGTCCTATATAACGTACGTCAGTGTAATTACCGTCCTACATAACGTGCGTCAGTCTAACTACCGTCTTATATAACGGTTAATATCATTTTTTCCTCTGTGACGAGAAAAAAAATCCAAATTATTTATATTTTGGTAAATTATAAAATGTGACTACTGCAAAATAAGATTTATTTCAACTTATAAATCTCTGAAAACAGTATTATTGAATTTTAACTGGAATTGACTGATGAAATATTACATATTGGTTTTTTTTATTTTCCAGGGAACACCAAATACTATACGTGTTTATTGTAAAAAAGATTTTAGGATAGATAACTAAGAAAGTAGGCCGTGAAATTAGTAAAATAGTGCTGTGTGCTCCTGAGAACATATTTACCAACAAACGTGCTATCATTCGTGTTGTACACAGTTAAGTAATCAGATGTGTCATTACTTTCGTAGTTTGACTTACTCTTCTGATCCAATGTCTGTTTCTTTATTTTACAGGTAATTACATTCACTTCATTTCGTTTGAATTTGCCCGACGATCAGATCTTTGATTGCTCCTGATTTTACCTATTTCCTGTCACTTGGAACAGTCTTATCTGTCAGTAGTTAGTAGAGTATTAGTGCATCGTCTTGTATGTAAGCTCAGAGACTTAAATAATATCTCTATATACTTCACGGGTACTTAAAGTTAGATCAGACGAATAACGACTCATGTAGCATAAGAAAAGTTACGTCAGACAACCTCAATGATTTTGTGTTAGATATCATCTAGAGTTCGACAGTCATAGGTGTATATATCTGGAATGTTAACCAAAGAGAAAACGAGAGAGAATGTTTTATAAACATGTGTCATTGTATGCTCGATTGTACAGTAGTACCTTTATAGTGAATATCCTTTTGGATGGGTGGATGTCCAACAGTGGTCAAAAGTTTATCAAATCTACACAATCCACGGGTCTCACTTACGGAACCTGCCATCAGTTTAAAAATGATTATACAACATTATTTACAGGGGAAATGTGCAACAATTTGAAATTTCCAAAATTATTCATTGTTTCGTCATTATTTCCAAAATATTCGCACTTTATAATCACATACATGTAAATAAATAGTCATGGACCGGCTGTCAATTTGTATTCATTGTCAATATGAATTCTATGCGAGTTACACGTGCTTATTTATTTATTTATTTATTTATTTATTTATTTGTGGTTGAAAGACTACAATCGTTATAGTGATTTAATTTGATTATAATATCTAAATTGTTCAGTAAACATGTCTTAGATTTCCTAGAAAATTTTATAATATTTCCGGTTTAAAGGTCCTCGATTTATTTGCTGTGTATCACGGGTCGTTTTTTATTCGATATTGGTGCTGATAGAGGATCTTACACAAACAAGTGGTGATGAAAACCATCCAACGTCTTCAATAATTAGACTCGTGACATATAAAATTATGTGAAAATTTGAATAAATTCCATAATACGTCGACACGAATGTGAGATTCTATTTATCATATAACCAGTATTTCTGCAAAATAAGCGAAAACTCTCAAATCAATTTTCCTATACAACAGGCTTATTTTCGACTCGGACAATACAATGGTTTACTAATGAGACAGTCATGTGACGTCATTTTGACATGACTTATGTATGACGTCACAACAGTGTTATTACACAGGTTTTACGACATTTATGATATGGCCACATAAAATAACAGGCCAGTTATATGGTAAAACATCACCTTATTTCACCAAGCCATTCCCTCATATAAAACAGCAATTAAAATCCGAAAACAACAACCTGTAGATAGAGAATGTTTCAACACGTGTCCTGACTAGGAAACACGTGCCCTGACTGGGAAACACGTGTTTAACATGTGACAATACAAGACTAGATTTAACACATTTCACGGCCCACCAGTCGTACAACTGGCGCTGTGCACATGCTATCATGTGCCGAGTCTTCTTTATAATGCAACCCAGTACGAAAAAAACTGAAGGAAAAGAAATACATAAAAACAAAAACAAAAATATCAATTTTACATCTCGTGAGTTCACTAGATACAAGTCTGAACTTTGATCTTTAAGGTCAAATTAAAATAAGATGACTTTTAATCATATGTAGATATTCTCTTGTCTGTAACATTGCTAAGCTCACGCGTCCAGTACAATTATCAGCGGAACAGCCTGGTATTATATATCTATACACTAAAAATCCTTACAGAATCATTGAAACCATTCCTAATGATAAAAATAAATGAATTTTTAATCACTTTAATTTAAGATATTAAAAAACATGAAGTGTTCAGGAAATAGCATATGAAAAGCTGTCCTTGAATTAAATATTAATTAAGAGGAATTTTTCGGTGAAAAATAACCCTCGGAAAATTGATGTTTGGAAAAAACGGGGTAACTCAGTTTTTATATTTCTGTTTTCATAAATATCATTGGGAATATATTTCCAAATCGACTTTTTGTCAGTATCTACCCATTGTGATAATGAATGGATGTCTCACTTTGGCCGAGCAAGAGTGATTAACTTAAGTTTATAAATAGCAGGAGGTGGTCACTCTCGAAGGGGAAGATCGGCAGGCTTTGATTTCGAGACCGTGTACGCTCCAGAAATTCTCTGATAGACAAGTATATTGACATCACAGCTCGTACAGGGGAGTTTCGCGTGTCCCATCTAGGTTACATTGCCCACAGGGAAGGCTTTCGTCAACTCCAACACAGGGATTCTACAATACCGAACAGCAGCCGAGAGCAGTGCTGTATTTTTCATCCTGGAAAAAAACAAAACAAAATAAGAAATATTTCATCAAAATTTGGTACAAAACTACAAATGAAATCAATGTTGATCAAACTCTCTAGTGCTTACAATTATACAACATCATAATACTATATGTAGTTATGTTTGAATAGAGAAAAATGCATCGGTAGTGTAACGGGAGATGGAATTTAAAACTTGTTTTAAAAAACATCTACATGTATGTAATGTCGACGATTTAAAAGAATCATTCCATACCATCTGAAAGTCCTACATGTATCGGGATGTTTACAAACACGAGATCTAACGAGCAAATTTTGCCTTGGTCAATCGTATGGATCAATGAATGCAGTTACGTGACATGATCCGATGACCGTTAATTGAAAAATGTAAGATCTTTAGAGTGGCCTTGACAGAAATCCTTACACGAAAAAATGGCTGATTAATGTCAGTCGGCCACACCAGAACACTGTTTAAGAGTACACAGGGACGTACATCATTACAAAGATAGAAAAAATAGTTTAAAAAGTGAAACCAACAAATATCTTGTCTGTTTCTATGTAGGACTATAGTGCACGTGAGCCTACAGAGAAAACTGGCGATAATAGTTTAGCGTTAATGAGAATTCAGTGTGGGAGGAACGAAGCTTGCATCAGGTACTGTAAGCTTGGTTCAACTGATTGTGTATTTTTCATCACGTGAAACATTTACATTTTTTTTTACAAAGTTCAAAATCGTGTAAAACATACATACTTTGGTAATCAGTTAGATGTTATATAGTATTAAAAGTTTAAAGCTATCAATTAAAATACGTATACTCATTAAGCTTGGCGAAATTTTGAAAATTGTTTATTCTGGCGTATGAATAAGAAAGTTAAGATAAATGGCGGGTAATAATTATGATGACTGGGGCATCCTGTCTTAAATCATAAACCGTTAAACAGCATCGTGTAGGAATGTTCCGTAAACACATTCAGTTGATTGATTTTGCCGGTATTTACTTAACAACACAACATTTTTAATCAGCTGTAACATTTAATCACATACGTACGTATGTGTACCTGAGAAATGTTTACAATAGTACATGTCACCCCAGGGGTAGTAATGTTTTCTACAGCTGATCCGTACACAGCTGAAAATCTGTTGTCAGTTGGAACCTAACGCTGGGCCCTTTTCCATCATAATATTTATGGATGTTTTGAAAACATGGCTGGCTATGTTGATTATTTTATATAAAACAAATATTTTCTAAAATGCCACACTCTTGGGGGTTGTTTTTAAATGTCGATTTGTCGAAATGTCCGGCCCAAGATTGCAGAGAAAAAAATTCCTAAGTAATGTAAGATTTAATCATTTAAAATCCATAACTGATAATCTTCTATCTCTACTAACAGCAAAACCTTATACTGAGTAAATAGTATTATCTACCAGATCAAGACATACCATTGAGCTCGACCAGCATACAACCAGTTCTTTCGCGGTCCAGCTCTATCTATTTAGTCCGGATTTGAAACTCCATTTCAAACATTTTGTTTCCAATTTCCAGACAACGACGATGTAGAAATTTGACTGTTTCCGTGGTAAAATAATAGTCACGTGATATGTGAATCTTCAGAATTTGCATTTTACTGCAGAAGTTTTGTATTTCTTTTGATGTCTTTAAACGGATATGTCGTGCCGTGTTTTTGTAGTAATCGTTTTTATAACGATTATTTGACCTACACACGAACACAGCCGATCTAGATCGATACAAATTTCGTTCAACACACATGGATACAGAGATATTTAGATTCAGTCATCACATTCTCACACAGTGGTAGTTCCCGCTTAACTCGACGGTTCAACAGTACTCCGTTTGTCTCGTGTCATTTATAAGATTATGAACAATATTCTTATCCATTTAAAAGCGAGGGATCCATTCATATCCTTCCACACTAAAGAAAATTCCAAACGAGATTTTTTCTTCAACTTTTCCACAACACAACACTATTTGAATTGAGTAAAGAAAATTGATTTCAGTGTCACGATAAGAAAAAATCACATTTCACATAATATGAACACAAGAGCTGTATTGTTTTACACCCAAAAGCTCACATGAAGCGATGATGGTGAAACTGTGTAGTAGGTCCATTAAATGGTCCCAGTTGACTTTGAGCAATAGGTTCAAAGTTCCTGGTGCAGAGCAATGGCGGTCGTGTTATAGAAAAATAATGATACCATGAAGACTCGTATAAATATCAAAAGCGCCTAAATTATACCATGAATTTATGAAATATCAAAATCAGAAAAATAAATAAAATTCCAAGGGAAGATAACTCTGTATGCGATGCTGATGATGTATCGAATGTAAACCCCCTACATACGGGTGGCATAATACCCCCCGCGAAGTCCGACAGGATGGCACTAATCTCCGGGCCACATCTGGACCCAATATCCGAATTCAAGCATTGATTCGCACCATGGAAAAACCTACAATTGAAATAAAAGTCACAGTTAGATAAACGAAGTCTTGTTTTTTGTTGTTTTTTTTAAAATAGGAAATTGTATACAATTGTAGCATATATTGCAGGCCGTTTTACAAGACAATGGAACTGTTTGATCTCAGTGTAATCGCAAAAACATGGATTCTGTAAAATCATGGGGCTCATAAATTTCGTGGGTTTTTTTTTCTCAAAAAGATACATTTTCGTAAACACTCCTGATTTCGTGGATAAACCTCGCCCACGAACTCCACTACTATAATCCATGTCAACTTTTATCTGTTTGCCGCGAAAAATAATAATTATACAGAATGACAGTTCAACTATTATCTTTTCTTTTGAATATGAAGAAATAAAATTATATTAGGATGTGACGGTACGTGCTGGATGGTAACAGGATACTTGACAAACCAGATCGACTTACCGACAAATCTGTTCTATTCTATGATTTTCACGCTCTTCAACTTCATCATTGGAGTATGTGGTCATTTTTTCGGACGATTGTATAGTGAATTCTTCGTGTCGTTTTATACATTTTTCAAGTTCTTTGTCTAATTTTGTAACGCATGTCCGACGCTCCACATAGACTGTAACACAGTAAAAACCTACATGAAACTGTATTTTTAACCATATGAAAACAAAATGGAACAAATGTAACAAGGAAAAAAAGAAAAATTACCCAGCAATGCGCCAAAAGCCATTGCATCTAGGTTTACTGAACCTCGTTACATACAACTGGAATTCGGTAAGGGATATAATGGGCCTCGAGCAAATCAGAACAAACTGCCTGGTTTCGTATCGAGTGCTTTTAGAGTAAAACCAAAGTATCGAATATTTCCGAAATAATGATGGTATGACAATGATATATTATTAATTGGTAAATTGATATCTTCCAATGTGAGGTTTGTGTTGTGGAGACCATAACAGCGTTTTGTGACTGATGAGGTCCGTATGGTTATTACAGGATACATCAACACAGTATGTTGGTATAGAATGAACGAAGACATAGCATTTTATATCATATATAACTGATGATTAAATACATACCAATTTATCAGTATAACAAAACTGATTATTTAGTTTTTGTTGTTACAATAAATAAATAAATAACAACAAAAAATGTGTAATATGACCTTACGGGCCGAGGCTATGATCGGCTTAAGGTTTTAAGAGTTTTAATTGTGACGTCATAACGTCATGGCGTCATGCCCATTGTGATGTCATAACGTCATGACGTCATACCCATTGTGACGTCACCAGAGAACGGAATATAGAGTAGGGATATCGCCAATTTTGTAAGTGTCTAATAAATATTGTTTTCCGTATTTTTTTTCAAAACTATATGAATTATTTGGACATTCGTTTCTGTTTCCTATTTTATAAAGGTCGTCGCCATTTATTTAACTTACCTCGCCAAAGGCCTGATAGAATTACAAAATCTTAGACTTGGTTCATAAATCTCATATGGATAGAAAATGGTGCTTGATCCTCTATATCTTATGAAAATATAAGTAGTAATACCAAGGAAAGGTTTCTTTAATGATTCTGCTAATTACACATGCATGAACAAAACTAATTACATAGCTACAAAAGCAGATTTAAGCAATGTGGCTGGTACTTTGTTGATATCAGGAACGTGTGATAGTGCTTGATGTTTACGATGAGCTCGAATCTGCCGTCTGATAAAGTTTTATTACATGATAACGTGATTAACGCACAGAAATCTGCATGTAGATTCTTATTATAACTGACAGCACTAAGCCCCTTGTGACGCTGGAATAATAGGACTACGTGGTGATTGGGACGTAAGACGCGTTATGCACGTGTATGAAATAACTGCGCGTGCTTTATAGGATCTACGTACGATTGTTTTGGATAAGTGGCAATATTTTTCGCCATAAATTCACTGCCGAGAAATTCAGTAGTCGCAACGGGAACACGTGCGTCTTCCCGGGATACATTTGGTTGTAACGAGCGCTAGATAACTTGGAGATCATTTGCCTGACGTGTTGGGAGGTGTGTGATTTGTGTGACACAACGTGGTGTTAACATATTACAGGGCGTGGGTTTTGTGTTGTCTATCGTTACACTGCGTGGGTCCTGGCGTCCTACAGAATGTGCAGAGTGTGAGCAGGAATGTCAACAGACAAACGAGATTAGAACGAGATTATAACGAGGTAACAATGATACATGCTGTCAGATTGCCTTCTTTGACTTCGTAAGCAATCGGAGAAGTGTGGCTATCTTATCTTCGTGCAATACCACATCAAGGTAGAAATCTCCACGATGCATGTGACTAAATACATGATTTGTTTGTTGTCATGACTACCTAATGTGACCACCTTCCAAACGTCACATTAACACTGACACTTGAGTAGACACCACGCGACTGGAAAATATTTTTACAGAAACTGTACCGACACATTTGTTTATAAAAATGTCATTTTAATGTTTAAAAGTGTCGCTGTCTAGTACATGACGCAGTTGCACAACTATCGCAATCGCAGTTGTCCCCCAAACTTGTATTGCAGCAGTTCATGTCAAAATATCTGGATAAATGTGAAATTTGATGAGATAAATTTCATGGTTATATAGACCGCGGCAAGTACAAAGTATAGATATAATGTACTATGTAGTACATTTAACTCGATGTTGGCAAAACATCGCATCCTAACGCCTTCACAAATGGAGGGAGGGACGGATTATTTTCTTTAGGCAAGGAAAACAACTGTGTCTACCCCGGGTATCTTGATTCGGGTGGTTGACTGGAGCAGTCGATACCACAAACAAAGACAGGTTCGATTCCACGGACGGATGCCCAAGACACAGCAGGTCACCTGACGGATCACGAAGGTTTTCTACGGGTACTCCAGTTTCGTCCTGCATTCAGACCTCCTTGTGAGATTCCTCTGGGCTTATAAGGGCGATTGACATAGTTGAAAGAATTGTTTAGAAATTGATGTGAAGTGTATAATTTTGAATTCTTTTTAATGTAAACTTACAATCTGTATTGCTGCAAAATCGTTGGAATCCCGACCTCCAAGCGTCCGGGTCGGCAAATTTGCGTAACCTTTCAAAGTCTCTAGGGCTGGTACATTGACTGTATATTTTATTAAGGCAATCAACTGAATCGTCTAGGTCGCCGTGTCTGAAGAGGAAGTTTTACTTGCGATCAGTTGTACAAAGAATCAATACAAGCAAATGAACACCTATCGAATAAGGCTACATTCGCCATTTTCTGTTCTCTGATCTAAGTTCGCTCTCTTAAGATGTCAACAACTAAAATTCAAGTACCGAAATTTCGAATGTCCAATCCTGGGATATCGCAGAGAAGATTTTGAGATATTTGAAATGAGTTACATATGGATAAATTGTGAGACTTCCATCATACACCTGTAGATAGGCGGTATATATGTCTCAGAGATGAAGAAACAGCATGACTTCCTATTTACAGCAGGACTGAATTCTATTCGAAACACGCTTCGATTTTATATGGCACTCTGACAAACGAAGTAGTAATAATGTGTTCTAGAAACACTGTATCCATTGATGGGAGAAAGTTCCTTCGAAAAAAAATTCACCGGAAATGGCGTAATACAGATAATAGTTAGGTATTACGTTAGAGGAGTTATGATGACGCATTAGTAAGTCATAGAAGATCATTTACGAATCCTGAAATTGTGACAAGGATTATTTGTTGACATACCGGCAGTGACGTTGCATGCGGTCTGCGTCTGCGCCTGTGATGAGCATGCTGTCTCCGTTTCCGTATGTGAGATTATGTAGGCAGGTAAACACCTCGCTAAGTAGGTCATCTGGACAGTAGCCGAGGGTCAAGTTCACCACCCAAAGGATTGCAGTCACCATTGTGTCTGAAATATCAAAACAGGTGTTTTTCAAGTTCTCTTCAATCTCATACCATTTCATTAACGTTTATATATAAGTATTGAACAGCGCTTAGTTGGTATTCTTAGGCATGTGAAAACTAACAGTACAATAGTGTATTCAATTAATTGACTTTATCCAGCCGGTAAATACAAGACACAGCGTAATGCAGTTTAATTGGCCATTTTAATTTTCAACCCCAATCTGTGTATATTACTTGCAATATCAGCCATTGGTAGTCCATGAGCTGGTAATATATTTCACGCTAGCAACGCTACACAATGGTCATTATACAAATGTTGATACATATAAGAACAAATCCTGGTCAGCTGGGAAATTGATTAACTATTCAAACTCATTTCCGGTTAAAGGCTATTTGTAGTTGGGGTCTCTCTGGGATTATTAGTTTAAACAGAAGGCCGGATAAATCAGTCTGCATCTGCTTTTTAATTTAGAGCACGGGATGAATGAAAGGTAGACAAATAAATGTCTATCCGCATTTTATTGCATCGGAAATCAATGCCTGATACAATATACACAGTGTGTAGATTTTTTTTTATCGAAAGTTGCAGGTGAGTTCTTCTATATACAGTAAACACAAAGCGACACTTTCATAAACAGGTTTTTTTCCTGTATAAATGTTTGAATCAAGGAACCAAACTCCACTCAAAATACATGTTTCATGTGTATATCTAGGGTTCAAACTTTTAAACTCTATCATGAGAATACCACGGTGTAGCTGATTGGCGCTGACAACTGTAACTTTGTTTATGATGGTTGTTAAAAGTTAAATTTATCAAAGGGTTTTACTTTTCAGCGGCTCCAATCGTGCCAGTGAGGAGATACCTACATCAGTTTAGCATTTACGGAAGCACAGAGAGACCATAGTCATGTCGGTTAAACGGAAGAACAAAGAGATCACAGCGACGTTTTTCATACGGAAGCTCAGAGAGACCGTAGTGACGTCTTTCATACGGAAACACAGAGAGACCGTAGTGACGTCATTTATACAGAAACACAGAGAGACCGTAGATATGTATTTTATACGGAAGCACAGGGATATATTAAGTCGTGATAATAACAGAGTTCTATAGATATCACTTACACACACTCAAACTTTCATGTTCTTCATTTATAGACCAGAGTTTAAATTGCATGGAAGCTCTGCAAGGCAGTTACAGTACCTACCTCGGTTATCTTCATATAGAATCAGAATAAGACTGCACGGAATTTGAAAATATATCAAATAGCATTTCTGATATACAAGAGGTGAAAGACTTGCTTGGGATCGTCATAACTCATTTGTTCAAAACTGCATCAGGATTCAAAATCAATTGTCACAACAACAAAATTTGATTATTTTTTGTTTGTTTTGTTTTGGGTTTACGAGTTTGACGTCCTCGCAACAACAAGGGCCAAATGGGGACAGGTGTACAGAGGGACACCAAGGGTGAAAAGTAAAGCATAAAATTAAAGATCTGAAGTTTTGATATTACTGTGCTCCTCAATGTCCCCAGAAAACACCACCCTTAATCTGCAACAGATGTCCCACAATTAGTTGCCTCTTATGACATGCAGTGAGGTCATTTGTTTGCCTTGTATAGACTTTCTAGAAATATCTAAAGTCTATACTGTGTGACTCATCATTTCAGCAATTAAGTTGAAAAGGACTCATGAAAATAAATTGTAGATTGTGTTTTTAATTAAATCTGTTTCTGAGAAACCTACAAATAGTCAAAGAAAATGGCAAGAAAACTTTAATACTGACATTAGTGAAGACACTTGGGAGTTAATTTATTTAATATCAAGGGAGATAACTGATGATACAAAACTTCTAACTTTCCAGTATAAAATATTACATAGGATATTGTATACAAATACAAAGTTAGTGAAATGTAAACTTGCAGAAACCGAAAGATGCACATTCTGTACAAATGAAAGAGAAACGATTATACACCTATTTTGGGAATGTAATGTTAAAACACTTTGGTTTTGGTTAATAGAATTATTAGAAAACAAACACCAATTGTCTTTACCTAGAAATCCAGAAGTCTTTGTTCTTGGTGTAGTAGAAATAGAACACAGATATGAAATCAATTTTTTAATGCTTCTTATGAAATACTTTATATTTTTGTGTAAATTAAAAAATAAAACTGTAACTATTTCTGAATGCAAGAAATATATTTCTCAATATGAAAAAATAGAGGACATTGGGTTACATAGATACAGCCTTAGAAAACAAGAAATTATTCAAAACAAATGGATCTTTATTAATCAGTTAATAAATTAGTGAATTATCGTATTCCAACGTATTGTTAACACAGTGTAACAAGTATGTACTTTTTTATTTTCATATGCACTGTAATATTTTATATCATATGCATTAATTTTAGATACAAGTACAATGTATGACGTGTAGTTATGCATGTGATGTGATTGATGTATGTGACTATTGATAAAATCCTGAATAAAAAAAAAATAAATTGTAGATTGTCCACTGTAGCAGGCATTTCATTTTCCGTCCCTTTCATGGGTTGAATTGGGCAGTTATTTTGAGTGACGTCTCATTCTATAAGATGTAGACATTAAATTGCGTTTTACAGCGTTATCATACTGAACAGTCGTTACCTGGTCAAGTCAGCGTGATATCCCATTCGGTCACATTATACTGACAACGGGCTTACCAGTCCTTATAGCTAATCTATCGAACGTAAAGCAAGCGGTCGGTTTCTACTTCATAGATTGGTTTGTCCCGGTCTGGGAACAGGAACTGAATACTCTTCATTTGGATGGATACTCATCCAAAAGGTCAACAGAGAGGAGAATGATGATAAAAAAATGAGAAGAGATCAGACACCATATCCAGTCTCCTATAATTAACACTCGTTGAAGGGACAGATCGGGAGTTTGGACTGTATCGTTTCATTTTTAATTTTAAAGCTTGTGCACTTTGTAATGTTCTTTGTAGTGTACTTTGTAGCGGACTTTGAATTGCACTTTGTAGTGTACTTTGTAATGTACTTTGTAATGTACTTTGTAGTGTACTTTGTAATGTACTTTGTAGCGGACTTTGTAGTGGATTTTGTAGTGCACTTTGTAATGCACTTTGTAGTGTACTTTGTAATGTACTTTGTAGCGAACTTTGAAGTGCACTTTGTAGTGTACTTTGTAATGTACTTTGTAGTGTACTTTGTAATGTACTTTGTAGCGGACTTTGTAGTGGATTTTGTAGTGCACTTTGTAATGCACTTTGTAGTGTACTTTGTAATGTACTTTGTAGCGAACTTTGAAGTGCACTTTGTAGTGTACTTTGTAATGTACTTTGTAGTGTACTTTGTAATGTACTTTGTAGCGGACTTTGCAGTGGATTTTGTAGTGCACTTTGTAATGCACTTTGTAGTTGACTTTGTAGTGCACTTTGTAGTGTACTTTGTAATGCACTTTGTAGCGGACCTTAGTAAACATTGAAGTGTACCTACAACCCATCGTATTTATCAAAACTTTCCACACTGAACACCGGTCTATATCTGTACATTGTGTATCTGTATCGAAAAACTGTATATAACGACAGTCTGCTAAATGTTCACCTTCCGGAATAAAAATTACAAATTATAAAAAATTGCCACATGTATCAAGCGAAAAGCTGTTATAGAGAGAATGATGATGTATTAACTAATAACTACAAACAGGATGTAACATGTTGACTGTGATCTTTATGGTATAAAAGTTCCTCAAACCAACAGTCTTCGTTTTTAGTGTAGACCCTATATTAATATCCGACATTAACATGTTTTGGGTTTGGCTCGACTCTATATTACATTGTTCTGCGTGGAATTAAATACAAAATATTACAGTATCATATTGGGAACCAAAGCTGTATTATTGTAGGATAAAAACACCAGTGGGTGGTTTATGAGAAGCTGTCTTAAGAAACGCACTGTTGATAGCCTGCATCCTGACTCCTAACAAATAAACAAAGAAAGCGACAAAGACAACATAAAATAAACAAATAAATAGACTTATGAACAGACATAAAGGGGCGTACACACCAGTCAGGGTTCAACATGGGCGTGTCATTATACACCAGTCAGGGTTCAACAGGGGCGTGTCATTAAACACCAGTCAGGGTTCAACAGGGGCGTGTCATTATACACCATTCAGGGTCCAACAGGGACGTGTTATTATACACCAGTCAGTGTTCAACAGGGGCGTCAGGGTTCAACAGGGGCGTGTTATTATACACCAGTCAGTGTTCAACAGGGGCGTCAGGGTTCAACAGGGACGTGTCATTATAAACCAGTCAGTGTTCAACAGGGGCGTGTCATTATACACCAATCAGGGTTCAACAGGGGCGTGTCATTATACACCAGTCAGGGTTCAACAGGGGCGTGTCATTATACTCAAGGCAGGGTCCAACAGTCAGGGTTCAACAGGGGCGTGTCATTATACTCAAGGCAGGGTCCAACAGGGGCGTGTCATTATACACCAGTCAGGGTTCAACAGGGGCGTGTCATTATACACCAGTCAGGGTTCAACAGGGGCTTGTCATTATACACCAGTCAGGGTTCAACAGGGGCGTGTCATTATACTCAAGGCAGGGTCCAACAGGGGCGTGTCATTATACACCAGTCAAGGTTCAACAGGGGCGTGTCATTATACTCAAGGCAGGGTCCAACAGGGGCGTGTCATTATACACCAGTCAGGGTTCAACAGGGGCGTGTCATTATACACCAGTCAGGGTTCAACATGGGCGTGTCATTATACACCAGTCAGGGTTCAACAGGGGCGTGTCATTATACACCAGTCAGGGTTCAACTGGGTCGTGTTATTATACGAAAGTCAGGGTCCAACAGGGGCGTGTCATTATACACCAGTCAGGGTTCAACAGGGGCGTGTCATTATACACCAGTCAGGGTTCAACAGGGGCGTGTCATTATACACCAGTCAGGGTTCAACAGGGGCGTGTCATTATACACCAGTCAGGGTT